AATTTAATTCATAAACGCTTGTAATTGGTACATTTTCGTTTTTAATTTTCATATGAAAATCTCTAAAATTCTCAATCTGTAAAACATTTTAATATTATTTAAAAAAAGATATATTTTGAAGATACACATAATCTATTAATAATAAGGTTTGAACTTTCTTTTTATTATATATATAGAAGAAACAACATGCACTAAGAAATGGTGAAATGATCTCCATTATAATATTCAGTCAACTTTATTAATTTATTTTGTTAATATAATCCATGTCCATGCATCAGGGATCGTATTGCAATATTTTTTATACATCCAATAAGAAGTTTTATATGCACACTTGTGTTTATACAGACAGATATAACCTAGGAAGTTAAGTTGAATGTTGAGTGTTATGTAGAAAAAGACCAAAAATGGTGAAACCAGTAAGAACACATAAAGTGACAAGCACAGAGCACGTGACATTGAAAGTACCCATGTTACTCAAGTAGAAAACACCATGATTGCACGAAATACACCTATCATAGGAGCTTGAAAAATAAACCATGTTAAAAGACACCCCACACCATGCTTCACCTTTTATGTTTTCATCATTCTTTCACTGTTTTTTTTTTTCTATATATTAAACTAAGTCACGTGACTTAACACTAACACATCCCTTTTGATGAGTTTAAAGCAGGTTTAAGGTGCGATGACCCTATTGAAGGAATGTGACAATGGATTATAAAAGTGACATTCTTGGAACAGAAACACGGTGAGGAACATCTTAATTTAACATGTGATCATCAAGATATGATTAGTGGTTTATTGAATTGTTGGAGTTGAATTTATATTTTAGAATAATCATTATTTTTTAAAAATAAAATATATAGCTTATATTTCACCAAACATAAATTTCAACATTATTTACTTAAATCATGTATATATGTTTAATTTTTTATTTATTATTTATTTTGTCATGCAAAAGTGTTTTATTATCAATTTCCATAAACTAAACTCTTAGTTTATTAAATAAAATACAAAATAATTTTTTTTTCTTTTTTCAATCACATTACTCTTGTTTCTCCTTCTGATATATTTACAAATTCATTTAAATTCATAAATTACATCTTTTTATAGCATTTAAAAATAATAATAAATATTCTAGTTATCTTTAAATTTTAATTATATTTAATTGTTCATGATCTTTTATAATTATTTGATATTATATAATTGTTATTTTATATTCTATTTATAATTTATAAATTTTTTTTCTGCTAAAATTTGACACTAAAAAAGAAGCATGTGATTTTATGATGACATATTAATAATATTATTTTTCTAAAATAAAAAATATATTTAATATTTAAAATTGTATGAATACAAGTATAAATATAAATATATTTTTTATTAATGAAAATGAAAACAACTATAAAGCAAAAATTTCGTATTAAAAATGAAAATAATATGCATATTTACTTTAAAAACACACAGTAAAACAATCACGATCCATTGTTATAATTCAGAAAAGTTATAGAGATGAATTATTAACTTTTGAGTGTTGATATTTTTATAAGAAAGTAATATGCACATAATTGATCTTGAGAATAAAATGTTGGAAAAAATAGCAACTAATTTCATGAAAAATACGAAGCAGCATATAATTTATGTAGGATAATATTAACTAATAATATGTCTAATAAAGGAATTGACGGATAACATTTTTATAAGAATATGTAACATTACTGATATTTTTATTTACACTAAAATTTTAATAAACTGAAGCAGTGGACATTTGCAGTAATGTGATTCATCTCAATTTCTATGCATCACTCAATTAAATAAAGACTTATATAGTTATTTTTTTTATCTTTAATCCAATATTTTGAATATGAATAATTGTATGTTAAGAACTTATTATTATTGTTAAATTAAAAGTAATTAAACATATTATATTAATAGAATATGCGTTGAATCTAAAATCGAAATTTTCATTTTCAAATAAAGTAATGTTATATTATTATAAATTTTGACTATGTTATATTTCAAAGTTCATAAATTTTTATTGGATAAAAAATTATTAAAAAGAAAAATCACTTTTCTATAAAGTATTAAATTTAGAATTATATGGGTAATATTATTTTTTTCATCAAAGGCTTGATAAGATTTATTCCAATAACTTTATGAGAATCTAGTTTATCATAATTTATCATATTTGATCATCAATATTCTTTCTTCAGCTTAAAAAATCTTGATAACTTAAATTATTTATTTTATTTTTGCATTTTTATATAACAAAAATGATATTTAAATATGAAGAATATGATTCAATTTTTCAAATAACATTCTACATTAGCTAATATCTAACGTTTCATTTAATAATATAAAACTATTAATATAATATAAAATTTATAAAATAAAATAGATAGTTAAAAACCAATGAAGTTATCAACCCCAGTGATTATAGTTATACATACCAATTATAAAATATTTGAGTTTTTCAAAACAGAAATGACTCTTATACTAAACATCTACATAAAATTATAAAATTATTTTGCTTCTATCATTGCCTCCTCCAAAGGCGTATGATCACCTTACCTCGCCATCTATTGATATCGAAAAATAATAATTGCAGAAGAATAACAAAACACAAAAGAATGTAAGCTAGTGTACAAAGAATTATCATAAAGTTAGTCAAAATATATCAATTACAAACTAAATATGTACAAACTTACAACAAGTTATATATTCACACAAACAGTTAACATTGAACTCAATTATCTGGATACATGTCATTGATATTAAGTTTCACTGTAGGCATACACTTTCTAGTAACATTTATAATTTGCAAATTAATAAACAAAGGAGTTATTACTCTATATTATTTACAAAGTTAGACCCTTCGAGCTTAGAACATAGTCCAGTGACTAGGACATTCTGCAACTCTTAACACATAACTCATTCCACTGTATTTAGTGTGAATAGTTGATAACTGTAATTCCTACCATTATCTATGGTGCATTTTTATACCAAATCAACTCTCTTGAAGCTTGAAACCTGCTTAATCCTCTCTTTTATTTAACTTTGTGAATAAATTTAGTTTAGGTTACACTTAGGGGTTTTTATCACTGATTCCCTCAAATTTTTGTAGGAAAATTGTGTGCATTGAAAGAGTATCAAAACTATCAAGAGCTGGAACTTGGGAAAAGCTGCAAAAGCAATTGTTTAGAAGATACACAAAGGCAGTTCTCACGTCTGCGTCCCCTAAAAAGGGGGGCTGAGCTCCATTTGGTTCACAATCCTCGCGCCTGGGTGTCCTAGGAAGGGGGCTGAGCGCCAGTCTTCTCGCAACTCTTGCGCGGCATCTCAGAAAAGGGAACTGAGCGCGACACTTGTTGATGTTGCACCCTAGACCTATTTAAAGCTACCATGCAAGGAAGATGTTATCTTTTAAATTTACCTTAAAAGATAAATTAATTGATTGATTTTGACTAACTAGCCAGAAGGAGAATTTTTCTAATCTTAAAAAAGAATTAAGGAAAAGAAATATCTTAGAGAAAATAAAACTATTAATGAATGGATTTTAAATAGATAAAATATTTCCATGTAACAAAGACTCCTTTACCAATTTAATATTTATATAAAAGAGTTTTATCATTAAAAATATACAATTCAATATTTTACAATTATTATATTTTAATTCTACTTTGTACTTTATTTACTAGAAAAAATCATCTAAGAAAATTTGTGTTTTCACTAATAAAATATAATTTAATTAATACATGCATATTTAAAATATATTAAATCTAATTTATCTTAAATTATTAAACTCTTAATTTAATAATATATTTATAAAATTATAAAATTTTGAGTCTAAGTAACAACACTAATTTAACTTGTTCATGACTAAGTTTATTTGAGTTGAATTTAATATAGATGCAACCCAACACAAATATAATTTTATCTGAATTATAGATTAAGTACAATTGTATATATAACACAATAATGTAATGAAAATATTGAAGTAATTGATAAAAAGAAATAGTCACATAATTCACATATCATTCTTGTAAACGAGTAATTTTAGCACATAAGAATTAACGAAATTTGTTTTTGTCGTATAAACGCACGTCATTATCATACAACGCTCCTCCACAGGTACCATGTGATGATAATTGGTATTTGATGCTCCTATCACTGCACACTAAACCACAAAAATCTACTCAGCAAGCCATGAGAACAAGAAAAAAACATAACAACAATAACCAGTGTCAGAAATAAGAAATGTTATAAAATATATAAAAAAAAAAAACTATGATGATGATGATGCGTTACACTGCTGAAAACCGGGTACAGCACAACTTTCAGTTTCAGTTTTACTACTTTGTATTAGACAATCCAATTCTCCACATCCATAACATAAAAAAAAAAACTCATTATTAGCAGAGTTTCAGTCAATGATATGATCATAATGGAATATATTTTACGTGCATACTAATCTTTAATCTTGTTCATTTAGAAAGAGTAAACAAAGTCTTATTAAATGTAACACGAGAATTTTCAATCAAGTCACAAAAATATAATTTTATAATATATAAAAGAACCAGTCTAGTAACATAAATTTATATACTAAAAGTCTTCTATCCTAACAATTACATACATTTATGTAGGATGATTTTATTTACATTATTAAGATAGGTTTAACAATTTTATAATTATATATTGATATGTTAAATACAGGGACAATATACTATAAATTTATTTTACAGTTTTATAATATTATTTAAATACGTACTGTCATGAATATTAATTATTTTGATTTGTTAATTTTATTTATTAATTACCTTAAAAAGTTATTCACCAATACTTTTGGTTGATTCTGCCTATAAAATTGATTTAAACTATAAACAAATAAAAAAATATAAAGAGTAGTAGCAATAAATTGAAAATATAAAATTTGACTAGATAATAATAGTGTTAACACAGTAACTGTAGAAAGATGAATTAATAATAGCAGAAGGTGGGGTGGTAGGGTCGGGGAGAGAAACTCGGTTCTCCCGCCTCTTGAATTCTTGAATCCCTGAAACAGTAAAGTAAGCAAAGCAAACCCTTCATTTTCACATTCACCACTCTCAGTCTCAGAGAGAGGATCGAATGTTGATTCTCCTCTTTTTTCTCTCTGCAAATGGACACGCCAGATAGGAGCAAGATCAACACCCCTCTTTCTCAGTTTGAGGTTTACCTTCCTCCTCCACTTTCTTCTTTGCACTTGCTTCACTCTTTAGCAATCTAACTACTTTTTTTTTAGGTTAAATTTGTTTTCTGTTAATTCACTATGAAGTGGTAGTGAAATGTTCAGTTTCTGTGTTCTAGATCATCCCATATGTTCAGTTTGACCGCTTCCCATGTCTATAACCAATTTGGGAAATAGGTTATTGTTGTTGGTTTATATTTTGTGTCTGTTTCAGAAGGTTTATGCCAGTGAGGAAAGTGAAGTTTCTAACTCAGATTCGACTTTTACTGAAGTTTATGTTGATTTTTCTGTTCAAATGTGATTAATTTTGCATTTAGGACTCATTTTAAGTTTCTTCTGTATACTGTTTTGTGGTCAATGGCCGTATTGCTGAGGGTTTTGTGCTTTGAAGATTTTAGGTTTTTCTTTTTCGGCTAATCTGTACAATTTAAGTTGTTATGAAAGTAACCTGTTTGTGATCTGGTTTGTTAACAGATTGTTTTGTACCCTATTTCCTGATTTTTCCTGATCTTTCTTAATGCAAAGTTGGAACCCTTGTGATTTGCATGCATAGTTTTGTTTTGGTTTAGCCGGATTAACCATATTCTTATGCTTGGTGGTGATATGCAGGATTCACCTGTATTTAACTATATCAGTAATCTATCTCCTATAGAGCCTGTTAAGTCTGTTCACATTACCCAGACCTTCAATTCGCTTAGCTTCTCATCTCCTCCATCTGTTTTCACATCACCCCATGTCAATTGTCACAGAGAATCCAGATTCCTCAGGAGGTAACTAAATTTTTTTTTTGTTGTTTGTTACTTTTGATGACTGCAAGTGACATTGGTGTGTACAGAACTGTGGATGTTTTAATAATTTGATTTTGTTTGTTCTCTGATTATTTAGGCATAACCTTTTGGATGCATCCAAATGTAAGGGTTCATCTGAAGATATAAACAATGTTTATTCATGTGAAAAGACTCCCGCAGATTCAACTCAGCCATGTCATGAATCAAGTGAGCCACAGGAAAATACCAATCCAAATATTTCCATAAGAGATACCTCAATCGAGCCATGTGATGAAAACCCAAATATCTCAATTGAGGTCCCACAAGGCTTGAAGTATAATTTGGCTAGCCCAGGATATGAACCTGTGATCTGTGCTGATGAGGCTGACTCTCTTTTGGAACTGCCAGGCAAACCAGGATCAGATGTTTCTTATGTTCCAGATGACTCTGAAAAGGATTCAATTGAGGGTGAAATGCATCTTCCAGCTTTATGTCAAAATGAGGAAAAAATTGAAGGACCAAATTGTGGTGTGGATGATTTAATTAATGAAGCCTCTGATCTGTTAATGTTTAGTCCCCCAAATATGAAAGAAGCTTTTAAGGATATAAATAAACAATTAAATCCTTCAACAAAGCTTACCAATTTGAGGACTTTGTTACGACAATCTGCTACCAATGATGGTCATCAAATGCACATTGTTGATACAGTTGCTTCTGGTTCAGAACATGAAATTGAAAATCATCCTTGTGAATCAGGAGCAGCCACAGACACAGTTCAGAGACAAGGCAAACATAACAATGTTGCTTTGGTGGCTAGCAATCCCATTGAGAAAGTGGATGATAAGGTAGGAAAATGAAGTCTGTTTGATATGCAGTGAGCTACGTGTATGCAGAGCTTTTCTTACTTGTAGTTAGATGTTCATGATTTCATGTTATAAAGACACCTTGATTTCTTGATTACTGTTCATGTACACTATCACACACTTGATTATATTTGTAAATCAATTCCTGCATTGTTTATTTATGAAATTTATAATTCTAGGAAAATGTTTTATGACTGTTGGTTGTAGTCACTCATTACTTTTGAAGCACATCCTATAAAAATAAATCATTATTTTGTTCCTTTTGCACATTTTGCATTCCCCAACATGTGTTATAGTATAGTGATAAACAATTTTTTATGTTCAGTTTTGTTTTACAAAATTATGACGAAAGTTGAATATTTTTCTTTCTCTGCCATTATGTTTACTGTTGAACACATCAATCAATCTAAAATTACTTTTGTCTTTGTATTTAGCTTGTTTATGTGACACACCGTGGTATACGGAGACGCTGTTTAGATTTTGAGATGGCTAGTGTCCAAAGGAAGAATCTAGATGGTAAATCAAACACCAATTCCAGTGCAGAAAAATCTGATGAGATGGATGTTAGTAAAGGAAAGCAACTGCTCCCCATTAAACATAGTGGGGATTCACGGAAGTGTGTTTTGCCTGGAATTGGTTTGCACTTGAATGCCCTTGCTAGCTTAAATGATTGCAAAAACATAAAAATTGAGACATTGCTATCTGGAAGGCAACCTAACCTTCCCAGCTCCTCCTCATCCTTGCAACTTTCTGCAAGCCAAGATCATCAACTATCTTTGGTACCTACATCAGTGGAAAAAGATATGGAGCAATCAGATAATGAAGTTCAGCCTGGTGAAGATTGTACCCAGCCTTTGGTTCACATGCCTGGTGAAGATTGCACCCAGCCTTTGGTTCACATGCCTGGTGAAGATTGTACCCAGCCCTTGGTTCACATGCCTGGTGAAGATTTCCAGCAGAATAGCCCTAAAAAGAAAAGGCAAGTATAGTTGCCCATTATCTAGTGTGCTTGATTACCTTCATTCCATTATATTTTAGCTTTTTCTTTCTTCATTAGCTTGGTACTAAAGCTAGATCTACAGGCGCAGGTTGGAACAAGATGGGGAAGGGGAGTCTTGCAAGCGTTGTAATTGTAAGAAATCAAAGTGTTTGAAGCTGTAAGTTCAAAGAAACACCCCCTTTTCTTTTGGGTTGGCATACTATCTCAATCTGCAACGACCTTGGATTTTTGTAGTTTCTTTTAATGAACTGGTTTGTTTTGAATTTATTTTTTCAGAAGAAAACAAGGGGTCTAGTGTGTCTACTTCTTTTTTCATGAAGTTATGACTTGATTGAGTTCTGGCTGTTGAAGATGTAGATGTAGACTTTCACTGAACTTATGCGTTGAGTTTATATAGTCAGCTAGATAAATCCTGCAGAAGTTGCACATACACCTAAAAATATAGTGTGCTAAATTTCAGTCCACACTGCAAGACATGCTTCTTAATATTGCCACTTGGCCTTTCCTCATGTTAAATGTTATCTGAAATTACTCGAGTGACTTGTTAGGAAGTATTGTCAGCCAGATATTATCTGAAATCACTCAATTGACTTGTTAGGAATTACTGAAAGCCTTAATATGGAGAGGGACAGTTGGTTATTAAAGGGAGCTGTTGGCTTTCATAAATACTGTGATTGTTCTAGGAGCTTCTATATATGAAAACCTTGTTTATCAGATTTTCTAAGCTCCTTTCAGTTACTGTGATTGTTCTAGGAGCTTCTATATATGAAAATCTTGTTTATCAGATTATGTAAGCTCCTTTCAGTTCTGTCCTAAAAAGGTTGGCTACAACTTTTAAGGATTGAACTAGCTGTTTTGTAAAAATAATGCTTACCTTTGTGTTGATCTGGTTTTGGGGAGTAAAAGTCCTGACACATGGCATCTTAGTCAAAATGATCTAAAAAGGTTATCTCTTGAATTGAAAATGTACTTTTCTAAATTTCATCATCCAGGAAGTATGCTTTTTTGAATAACTTCTTTTGTTTGAGCTTATGTGGGTGATGCTATGATTTTCCATAGCCATTTCTATCATGTTTAGTTTAAAATGTAGTTTGGAAAATATCCTTTGACCCAGTCCCTTTGACTAGAACTTCAAAAACAACGTCAGCTAAAGTTTGTATCCTCTAATTTAAATATACTTCTGCCAAGTAAATGTGTCAGTTATCCATGTTATATTGGGCCTTGCTTATGATGACAATTTCCTTGAGCTTTCTGAATACTGTGTTTTATTACTATTAAAATATTGTGACATGAAAGATTGGGAAGGAATCTGGCTTTAATGTCTTTCTAATTAAACTTTTATGTTTACTTTACCAGTTATTGTGAGTGCTTTGCTGCGGGAGTCTACTGCATAGAGCCCTGTTCATGTCGTGATTGCTTTAACAAACCTATTCATGTTGATACCGTCCTTCAAACTCGCCAGCAGATTGAGTCTCGAAATCCACTTGCTTTTGCTCCTAAAGTCATACGGAGTTCTGATTCTGTACCTGAAATTGGGGTCAGAAAATAAAATTAGCTTTATTTTTCACTTTCAAATTTAAACCATATTTCTCCTATATCAATTATTTTCCATGCAGGATGACCCTAACAAAACTCCAGCTTCAGCCCGACACAAAAGAGGATGTAATTGCAAGAAATCAAGCTGCCTAAAGAAATACTGTGAATGTTATCAGGTTTTCTCCATTGTTATATCATGTATGCTACACCAGTTGCAGTATTATCTTGAATTACGAACAGCTATTATTTTATTTTGAAGGGTGGTGTTGGTTGCTCCATAAGCTGCAGATGTGAAGGATGCAAGAACACGTATGGTAGAAAGGATGGTAAGTCTCTTGTGTATTGCAATAATTGGAGTTAGGCATTGCCAATCAAAGCCATGAATTTTGCTCTTTAAACCCCTATTCTCTATATTATTCATCTAAACATTGTTTTCTGTTAATGGTAGTATTTTATGGCAACTTCTTTTTTTATGTTCAGGTTCTGTTCATTCTGGAATAGAAGCCAAGCCCGAAGAAGAAACAGAAGCATGTGAAAAGGGTGTGATGGAAAATGCTTCACATAAAACTGAAACACAAAATACTGAAGACCATCCTGATCATGCTCTTCCTACAACACCATTACGTCTTTCCAGGTTTGATATGCTGTGTTTTTGTCTGCTGATGATAAAAATTGTCCGATATTTATGTTGGTTGATTTTTATGTCACAGATCATTGATCCCATTACCCTTTTCATCAAAGGGTAAGCCACCAAGATCTTTTGTTACTACCATCTCCAGTTCTGGATTGTTTGTCAGCCAAAAGCTCGGGAAATCAAGTGCTCCGCGGTCTCAACCTAAATTTGAAATGCCTGTGCAAACTGTTCCGGATGATGACTCTCCTGTCACCTGCATCAAAACTTCTTCTCCAAATGGCAAGAGGATCTCCTCTCCTAATTGTGACGTGGGATCATCTCCTACTCGCAGAGGTGGGAGGAAGTTGATCTTACAATCTATCCCTTCATTTCCTTCTCTCACCCCTCACAATCTTCGGAGTGACTGAGGATCTAATCTTCTTAAGTTAGCCTCTTGGTTCCCGTTTCCAGTTTGTTGCAGTTGGAGCTGTATGCGTAGGTGAATGAATGTAAATGTTGAGCTCTCTTTTACTTTCGTAATAATATGTTGCTTTCATTTCTTACTGTACAACTTCACTTCAGTTGTATTATATCTTAACTACCGGTTATCATCTATCCTAAGAGTACTTGGAGAATGATTTGTTATTAAGTACTTATTGGTCGTGTTGGACTATTCCTTTTGGACAGCAATTTGATTTGTTATGGTACATACAGTAAATGTGGTTGGTATCTTGGAATCGAATTTAGCATAATTTAATTTACAATTACATTTTCACTATTGTATTGGTGAATGCTGCTCCTACAAGGGAATAAAATATTAGTTCCAATATTTTTACAAGGTGGCATGTTACTAGCAACTTTGCAGCATGATATCTGGAATATCACCGTAATGAAAGCTAAATCCCGGTTTTCTTGAATTGAAATGTTTGACTGGAAGTTACTTTGAGTAACCGCTAATCATTCTTAACTGTCTTTCTAATCAAATAGCATTTTCTTTCCTTTTCCTACATAGAGAAGACATAGGAGTCAGCTACAAGGAAGGACATGGACGAGACGAGGTAAGCGAATGCCTGATACAATAGTCTGGTCCTGCGACCTCTCATTGTCTTTTTCTCATTCGTTCTTGATAACCATGAATAGGAGTAATGAGCTTGCTAGTATTTTTTTTTACAAAGCCATTTCTTACTTCAAAAAGTAGCGAGCGGAATAGGTTTTTATTATAGATTTCTTGTCATATTCCGAAATCTTAATTTTAGGAAAACTTTAATATTGCGAAATATTTAGACAAGTTATTTTAGAAATAAGAAAGTTATATGCTGTTATAAAAAAGTTATATGATATTTTTATTTTAAAATTTTTTAATCATTACCACATTATAAATTATTTACATTAGTTAGACCTTACCAAGTTCGATATGAACTTTTGACATTTTTTTAAAATTAAATTGATTTTTGACTTCAAAACAAAACTTGAAACACAAAATAGTATGACCTTGTTATGCATATATCAAAGACAAATGTCAACATAATGTAAAATGATGAAATCACAAAATAAAAAATTTTGAACTTGAAAGTATGAAATATATAGGATGTATAGTTTTGATAAATCTTTATTTAGTATAAGGAAACACCTAAAAACATTTTAAAATTTAATATAAGATTGTAAACTAAATGCCTAAAATTAGAAAAATGACTAAAAAATACTAAAAAAGTAAGAATTTATTAGTAAACCAAGTAATCTTGGAGATTTTGATCCAATAATCCCTTTTCACATTGTCTAGTGGGTCTCTTTCTTCATTTCAAGTAACTTTCATTTAGAACCATATCAATGAGGTATATATCAAAAGTAACATGTAATTAAAAAATTTCTCCACCAAATCTTTTTATCCTAAAATCTACGACTATTTTAGCATATGTAAGAACTTTACTATCAAATATACACTAAAAGAAGATACCACAAAAAATTATGATTAAAAATCAATTTCTACTTGATTTTAATGATTTTTATAAAATCTGGTGAATAGTAAAAACACCACAATACAACAAAGTGGATATAACAAATTCAAAATACGGAAAACAAAACAATAACAATTTAGAAACACAAAATAAATGGAAACATTCAATCATCGTCGTGATTCAAATCCAAAAAATAATTACATTTTCAATTTCATAAATTCAGTGAAGATTTAAAACGTCTTCCTCAATAAAACACTTAGATTCACAAAAACTCCAATATTAATTCTAGAAAATCATTTACCACCGTAATCACCAATTTAGATCATAAAATAATAATATCCAAAACTTTCGCAATCACCCATGGAATCACAACTGTAGTTATTGTCAAACACGAGAAAGAGAAGAGAAATTATAAATAAAAAAAAATAGAAATTGAAAGTCCGAATTTAATTGATTTTATATCAAATGGTTGAGAATCTAACATAAACCAATTTCAATTATTTAAAAAAACGTGACCATGACATTTTTATCTGAATTCAAAGTAAAACGTTTGACTATATTTGGAATAGGTTACCTTTTGTACAGGGTCTCTTCTTGAAAGGGTTGTACATTTCTTTTCGTCATCCTTAATTCCTATCCAACTGTTTGCTTGTGTCCATCCTACACCACCGTCTTGCTACCACCGCCATTACTCACTCTACCTATTCTCCTATTTCAAACCATTGCATCAATATTCAATATTTCTTTTATGATTAGGGTAACCGTTTTCTTTTCTTGAACATCATAAATATTTTTCACATTTTTTACTATATGTAAAATTAATATAAAAAAAGTCAATATTTAAAAATAGCAAAGGAAAAATCATTCCATGCTACTTACACAACCACAGTGAACAATTATGAGATGCCAGGAATAGAAAATAGAGAAGATAAATATATATATCATGATATGCTAGTTGTTACCACGTGCGGTGGTGATGAGAAAGAAATGGAAATGTGGAGTCCATTTTTTAAACTATATGCCATTAATTTTGTAATGCATAATCGAAAATGTTAGCATCATCGTCCCCAACATCCCCTTTAGATACTCTTTTTCTTTTTCTTTTTCCCCTGACTTTTAGATACTTTGCTGAATTGACAGAGAAATTTTTTGAGTTAATTTATGGAAACTTTTCAGAATCTTTGAGGGAGGGATGTGGCCATGCCTAACACAAGTAAGAAACGAAAAAACAATACTATGATTCATATCTTTTGTTGAAATAGCTAAGAATGGGACCATATATCGGTGACCTTTTTTTCTACAAGTCATTTGTGGTTTTCGAAGACAAATTGCACCTCTCTATGGTTGGTGGGGGTTGTGCTAGTGAGTGTGAATTAAGAGTGCTGGCTAGGTAGATAAAGCTTTCATTTCCATGAGAAAATATGCAAGATATATTATGTATTGTGTGGGTGGGTGGGTGGGCTAAAATATACACGTTTCATTCATCTACGTTTTCATGACCAATAATGTTAGAGAGAGTGGGGAAGAGAGGAGGAAAATCACATCATGTGAGTCGGTAATGATGTGCAACTCTTGCAAGTGTTTGTCTCGAAAGAATGGTAGGTTTGTTTGTTTGGGAGTAACATCTAAAGAAAGAAGGAAAGAATTAATGTTTTTGGATCAAATCTGTCTATTTTTCCCTTATACCCTCTCAGTTACGAGATTTATGTCTCAAACGAAACCAGTGCTTACCATAATGTTTTACTTTCACTTTTAAGTAATATTTAAATAATATTCATATATAAAATTAAAGAATGTCGAATACATTGCATAGCGAAGGGGATATCATTCAAAAAATTAACACCGTGAACTTTATATATCATTATTATTAGGTTTAAGATATTAAGATACCCAATTATTTGTTATGATTAAGAATTTCTTTTATTAAGATGAAATTAATTTTTCTATTTTAAACTCGAACAATTTTAAATAACAATTATATTTAAGGAGAAACTCTATCAATCTTAGACAAATTCATGGTTTTACTTTTTTCAATATTGAATGTTAAGAATTTAAATAACGAGTTTTTAGCATGTAAGTATGAAGACATGTGAACAAACTAAGATTTCTCAATTACTATGCATAACAAAATCATCTTAATTATAGTTTCAACAAATATCTTCTGGATATGAATTTGAACTTTTCGTCATAAAACAACTTGACCAGTATAAGTAGGATGAGGCAGGGAAATACCATGTGAAAGAAAGTATAAGCAAGCATAAATCAATAAAACCTAAATGTAAAAGAGGACAAGCAAGAAATAAGAAAAAAATTTCCATATCCTCAAACCAAATCGTTGGTGAAGTATAATTCATCTCACAATGTTGTTGTTTGCACTGAAGACTCAACTTGGAGACACATGAATCCTCACTTAAAGTTGGATATTTAAAGACAATTTTGAGTGAGAAACAAAGGGTTAGCAAATTGGGACAATCGGAATGAAGAATTTGAGGAGAATTTTAGATAAATGAGGATTTTTGGGATGAGGAGAATTAGAAAGAGCTCGAAAACTAATAATGGAGGAAACACTTTCTTTAAATATGAAAAATTCATTTTAATTCTTCCACGACAACTTGCATTTCTCATAAATAATCTCAACAAACTCATTGACGTTTACTGACAGATAATTAGTCAATAATAACTAAACTTATTAACTTGTGAAAATTTTTGTTAATAAATAAAGTATTAAAACTTATCAATAACTTTCCTTAATATATAAAATAATTATATATTATGGAGGAATCAAAATCCATCAATAAATTTTCATTATTATATTTAATATTTCTAATAATGACTTAATAATCCAAAATTAAATTACACTATATTTCTACATATTTCATATCATTAACAAGTATAAAATTTCATATCATCGACAAGTATAATCTCTAAATTAGACAATTGACCGTATTCACGTAAAAAAAAAAACAAATACAATATTACCACTTCAATAAATATCATACAAAATTTGTATGATTCATAAAGTCAACCTATTAACAATTCACCATTTTCTCATACACTTCACCTAATATCATCTTTCATTCAATCCAAAATCCTTTTCATAAAATATTTTAGCAATTCAATTGGTTCAACTAAGTCTTCCAAAATCAATCATAAACCAACTATATGTGCATCTCTTGATCATCTATGCATGAAGAGAAAAACAAAAAATCTAAAACTTGAGTAGGACTAATTTTACTTGCCAAATTCGACTAGTCTAAATCAATCAATTATTCACGAGCTCTTCGAAACCTTTTTCTAATAAAGTTTCTAAATTAAAAATTTGAAAATAACTGAAAAATGAATGTCTAACTTATATTTAGAGATTTTATTTCATAGTCACTTTAAAATATATTATTAAAATATTTTTGGTCTTATGAATTATATATTCCTAATACAATTCTATAATTTCAACCTCATATCATAAGTTCGTGATATTACAATACTTGGGACACATATAATTAGTATTTATAACACATTTTTGTTATTTTAAATATTTTAATGATTATTATTTAAAATTTAATGATACTCATAAAAATAATATAATTTCAGTTTTACTATCAAGTTATTTGACATCTTTTTTCATATAATAAATAAAAGGTTTGATTAAATTTCAAATACATTATAAATTGAAGTATTTTCAA